AAGACCGGCAAAGGTGACAATTTCCCCTATATGATAGTTATATATATCTCGATTCCTANGTGTTCATATAACGTTTTTCTATATAATTTAATTTTTTTGAAATTTGTTTGAGCAAAATCGGACTAATGGTTCTCGAGTTATGTCAAAAAAAGACCGGCAAAGGTGACAATTTCCCCTATATGATAGTTATATATATATCTCGATTCCTAGACGTGACCCAGCGAAACGCCGGGACACGTATAACTTGTTTTTGACCGATATAACATTTCCCGTTGGTTTCATCCCATCCCGATTTTGACTGTCGCATAGTGTCATTCGCGAAATTACATGCTCGATTATTCAACGAATAGTTTGTTTAAATTTCGGACTTTTTAGAGTGTAATATAGCTGCTGTGGTGTGCGTAAATTTACTAAGAAAGTGTGTACAAGCTACAAAATACACATCTGCTGTTTGATTTCACCCTTAGAATTGTGTAAAGCCACTAACAAAAAGGATTTTTACACACGAAAATGTGTAAACGAGAAAAATACATATTCATCGTGTAAATTTACCAAAACATTTTAAAAATAAACAAAAATATACTCCATTTATAGTCGCGTTTTTAAACAGATTTTTTAGAGTGTAGTTTTACATGCACTTTTTAGAGTGTAATTGTACCATAAAAAAACCCCCAAAAATAAATTTTTTTTTAATTTAATTAAAAAACTGCAATAAAAATCCCTTAATAAAAAAAAACTAAAAAAAATTCCCTGCGCCAGGACTTTAATCTTGGATCTCAGGAATACCACGTCAGTGCTTTGCTCTGTCGGCTATTACGACTGTTGTAGCGCTGGATGAGTTGGCAGACTACATATCTCATCAACTGCTATGATACTACTGCTAGTAGTTTTACCAGTAGATGTTGATGTATAGCCTGACAATTGACATCTCGTTGGACATCGCCGCTAACACTGAAAAAGGGTAGAACGTGAACTAGTTCGGCTGAAACGCAAACTGGTAGCACTCTACTTCACAACTAGTAGTTTTCCCTACAGGGTATGTAGATTTTACATCAATTAAGTAGAAATTTAAATAATTGATTTTACTAGTTGAAGGATGCAATTTAAGTGAGCAGGATAGTAAAAGGATATATCAAGTATTTGAAAAAGTTAGAAACAAAACTCGATTTTGGTTGACTTTAGGACCCAGCAAGGACAAATACTTTTATGAACTAGTAAGCCCTTAAACTATATATTGCAACATTTTCAAGGGGTATGTATGCCTTTGCAGCGCCTGCAGTTCTAAAACCAGTTGCAAATTATTGCACTCGAAGCAAACGAAAATTGCAATTTGTCGTTGTTGGCCGCCATGTAATCTGTTGTTGCAACAATTTTTCTCAAATCTTATTGTTGTTTCTTTCAAGTACATACATACATAAATACATGTGTCCATATGTATATCGCCACTCGGCGTATTGCAACTTATTTTATGGCTTCTTTATCCTGAACACGTCTGCGTTGCAGAATGCACTGCGGCCGCAGCGACAGGTTGCGGTAAAGGCAGAAAAGCACTCAATTAGAGTAAGGATTTAACGGCGAAGGGCTAGAGGGCGTGCTTGACTTCTTCTATGTATGTAGATATGCTTGTGTGCGTAGGGCAACGGCAGCTTCTTGTTGGAAGGCGTTTTCCTTTTTATTTGTTTTTTTTTTCGATTTTTATTTAGCCGCCGCTGGTTATCTTGACTGTCCTCGTATTATTAGCGTTGCTGCTGTTTGAAGTTGTTGCATTGTTGTGCGTTGCTTGTGCAACATGCTGCTATTAGCAACGGCTGCCATCGACAGCTGCATATTGTGCTCATCCATGAAGGCTCAAGGTGGGTTCAAAGCAATTGTGGTGTTAACAAACTGAAAGCATATTATTTGCGCTATTTTATTATTATACTTGTGGCTACTTCCATTACCACGCTATGCGGCGTTTCATGGTCAACTTTTTTGTTGTATAAGCTGTTATAAATTTTATTGTGCTGTGTTGTAAATGTTGTCATTTGCAATGGATTGCTTCGATTAGCTTTACTTTACTTTTCTTTTGACATTCTCATGCTTATTATCTGGATGCACGTTTCAATGGCAGATATCGAAAAAAAGAACGGCTCGATTACCACTACAGAGCTAAGTAAATGAGAGGCACAATTGCAAAAGCGGCGGATAATGGTGGAATGCTGATTGTGGTTGCATGCTTTTTTGTAGCAAGGAAAACGAAAAAATTATAAAATTAATTGAAAAATGTAAATAAGAAAAATTCCCTAAGAAGTTCGAGGAACGGGTTTTGTATTACCCTCTTCACGTATACATTTATTTAAAAAATTGAATATGTCTACAGCAGATATATTTAATTTCAAAAGCGTAGAACTGCAATTTATATCTTCTACATGTACAGCGCGAGTCCTTAAAATTCTGTACCTTTAATTTATTTTCCCCTTTTTCAACGCTAACTAATAACGATTCAAATAATGCTCAATCACGGCTGCTTCTACTTTTGTGGCTCACCATGGCGTATGCGCAACCTCAGAAGTAATAGCTGAGTGTTTACGCTTTGTCAGCTAATAAAAGCTGTGTGGCTTTGCGCCAACCAATCTTTTGTGTTAGCAAAACACTGCAGCAGATGAATATCAACGACGTGTGCGCCAACACAAACCAAGTCACTAAGCCACATCGCTAAAGTCCATCAATGTCACGTGTTTTGTATTGGTAGCTTTTATATTTATTATTTTCCTACGTTTTCACACTACATTTTATTGCTGATGTTTGGGCTTGTACAAGTGTGCAGTGATTTGTGGGGGAAAAGCTGTAAGGAAGTGTACTTACATACGTACTACACATATTTACGAATACGTTTTGGTTTTTACCAAAGTATAACTTAAGTAGATATTTATTTTAAAACTGAAAATCAGATACTCTTTTCTTGATGGTGCCTTTTAACGCTTGGACAGGTTCTACATACATAGGTGTGAATCCAGGTCGCATCGACCAACTTTTCTTTCAACATAGTACATAGAACTCCTAGTCCGCACCCTTATGGGTCATTTTGAACCTTCCCTATAAGTTAATTTTTGAAGGAGGTCAAGGATTTGATAGAATTTCTATTTTACCGGTTACAAGAGTACCCATAACGCGAAAAGGGTTTAAAAATTTATAGGAACCTTATTTATCGGCTACAAAGTTTTTATTACCAGCGCAGAATTGACGTGTAAAAGGGCATTCCATAAGCTAATGAGTACATGAATAAAGAAGATGGAGGCAAGGAAAGGCGATCTCGTGTTGTAATGCTGAACATACCAAACAAATGCCCCAATAAAGTTCTTAATTAAGTGCGAAAAGCTAGAAACCAAAAGGATCGGTCAGAATAAAATTTAAATTTCCACATTAAAAGTAAGTATAGACTCTCTCAAAAAGTCTTTTGCATTTTACAGAATGCCACACATACAAACGGCAAGGAAAACAGTAAAGGTGGTCCGATTTCAACAGCGTTTCTTAAGCTTTTTTTATATCATTTGTTTTTAGGAGAAATGGAAGAAGCTATGCATAAACTCTAAGCGGTAGAAGTTGAAGCTGTTGTTTCGGCGATCACAGCTACTCCTGATCAGACTACTTCTTTTTCTAGGCTGCCGAGCTCGGCACACCCTACACGCTTGTTGCTGATTTATTTCCTTATACAAGTTACTCTAGTTGTGACTTCGCTAAAACTTGGCATACATATACTTTGCGTTCACTTAGAAAACACAAGATATAAAAAACTGTGGAGATAGATATGTTGCCTGATAGATATGTTACTCAAAATCATATTATACGAAATTAGTGGTTTTTGAAATAAGGTTGGTACACCGGAGCCGAGTCTGGATAGGTACGAGCTCAGTTGACTGTAGTATCCAAAACTTAGTTTCGCCAGGGTTACTCGAGTCCCTCGCGGACTTTCAATCAAATGTTTATGTATATCAGGAGATTAGTTAGTGTAATTGAATCTCAATAACTCGTAATCCAAGTCTAGGAAGGAGGCAAACTCCAACCCCAAAATTTCATGAGTTTAACTTAGAGAAATTAAGTGAAAACTGGTCGGCATGAGAATTTTTTTTTTATAAACAGTTTGTTTCTTGCAGGATATAACAAAGGGCTTTTTAATGTGTATAGCGTTAGTGAAAAATTATTGTGGGCTTTACTTACGCGACAGTAAGCAAAGCGTTGTAAGTAAAAAGACGACCGACACCCCGCATGCTGGAAGCCCAATTTTTAACCACCTTTTCAAAAGGGCCGTATATCGGCAGAGGTTCGCGCAATCTGGATTTCTAAGGCGTACAAAGTTTCCGGTTCGCTCGCATAATGCAATGACTTTACGTAACCCTAGATAAAAAAAAACAATCTATTGGCGTTAAATCGCACAATTTCTGTGTCCAACCGTTGGCTTATTTCGATAAAAACACGTGCACCAAATGTTTCCTTCATTAAGTCGATTATTAGAAGAACTTATAACGGATATCATCTTTTGGAGCTTAGGAGTTTCAGCCATTTCAGTGCATCAAAATTCGAATAACAAATCAATCTCTTCGGCTCTTTTAACTTGTAGCATTATGCGATGTATTGAGGTCATAAGTAAGCTGCCGGCGAAATTAAGGCAAGACACGTAATTAGAAAAATGTTGAAAAATAGAAAAAACGGCCAAAGCGAAAGCAATTGAATACTTCTCATTGATTTGATTGAATTTGAAATGTAAACTACTCACAAAGCAAACAAAAATTTGGCCTCACGGAGGCGCATCTAAAGAAGCCAGCAAATACTATTTCATACACACAAATAGATAAAAAAAAATTGCACAAAACCATGAATGCCACTTCGAGACATGTATGCCAGCATAAATACTTGGTTGATTGAATTTTTCATTCTCTTACTATCCTTTTTCTAATTCTACAAATTTAATTTTTTATATGCATATGTATGTATGTATGTATGTAGCTTGGTTATTCACTTACCGCACTGAGAACGCACTGCGTCGCGTCAGCTGTACTTCCTCCTTAACGTGGCGAAATGAACGCTTCTGTTGATTCTTCTCACGATCGAAATCAATCGACATAACACGTTCCAACGGCTGATGGCAAATGATGTCGCGATCCGACACGGATTTCATATTCCGTATTACATACGTGCCGCCGAAACGTGAATGCCGCATCGCAGGCGGTTTGGTGTGATGCCTTTGGCGTTCACGGCGACGCGCAGCCAGCAATTCCTGTTCGTCGCGTTGCTTCTCGGCGATGCTGCGTTGCAATGATGCATCCGCAAGGGATTCGGCTGTCTGTTAAATGGAAAATTAGCGTCAGTTACACACGCAATATTTAATGTCAGCTAGGTCGTGCTGATGCCCGAATAGCTGAGGCGGTTAAAATATGAGGCTGTGTGTGTGGGGGGGGGGAGGTGTCAGTGTCAGTGCATGTACGGAAATGTGCTGGAGATTTGGGTGCAGGTGGTGCGTGGCGTGCCTGCTATGCAGGTGACCTGGTTATGCAGGTGAATGCAATAGTTTCAAGCTGCAGCGAGGAATGTGCGTTATGTTCAGAATTGCACATGGCGAGAAATGCGTGAGCTGCTTATTCGTTATGGTTGTTGTGGTGTTAATGCTGTCAGCGTGCAATATTGTGTGCCGCTAGGCTGGATTTAATTGAAAAGTTGATGGGTAAAACGGTTTAGTAGCGATTATAACACGACGAGAAGAAGAGCGTTACAAATGTACGATTATGGCTCACGGGCGAAAATGTAGTACGGTAGTAAGATAATAATAGCTAGCAGCTGCTAGTAAAATTTAATGGTTTGCTAAGTAAAACAGACTTTCCTTAAATTAAAAATTCTTTTGACATCAATACAGCAGAAAGCTATAAAACATTGTCGTAAACGAATTTCTGTCATCACTTGTGAAATTCGCTTTGGAAGCCAGATGATTTCGGCGTTTTGTCATTTTCGTTGTCTGAAAAAAGGGTGGCACAACGTGGAAGCCGGGTTTCCTTTGAATCAAATATGACAAGGAGTGCTGGAAACTCGAGCGTACTACATATCTTCTGCTGTGCTAAAAATGAAACAACTACTATAAATATATATAATTGACTAGGTTATTATAGCTGTTATAGCGTTTAGGGAGATACGGGTTACATATGGTGCCATCGAGAAAGATTTTACTAATCGGGCTTTTATGGCTTCTAAGGCACTGATTAGGTGACTACAAAGGGCACATTGACCGTCTTTTGGTTGTTTCTGAGCATGTGGCTTTCACGTCGGCCACCAAAGGATTCTTCTAAAGCAGTGAGTATGGCCTCTATCGGTTCTGATAAACATTTGACTCGGGTGCATTTGGAAAAGTTCCTTGCATTAAGTTTCCACCGCCAAGCCTCTTTTTGACTGCGCTGCCAGTGTCAGAAATTGTGAATGCTAACTTTAACATTAGTTATAGGACGATTTTAAATAACTCTTGAAACTCTTTAAAGTTCAATTTTAGCAACTGAATAGTTTTATAAATTTAACTTCCTATGAGCTCCCGGTCAGAGGGACGGAAATTACATGGAAGTAAAGAACCTAGAAGTAAGGTACTTGTAAATCGGAACAATCGAAATCCATTTACCCACTGCGAAGGGAAGGTACTTTGTATAGTCAAGTGAAAATAAGAGGGACGCGACATTTTGACCAGTTTTGACAATTTTTCTGTTTTTTTGTATATTTTTTTTGCAATAATAATGTAGCTCGTTATCTAGCAAAAATCACTTTTCACAAAAATGATATTCTGATGACTTAACTGTCTTCGGTGATATTAATGCTGACTTTGTATGACGCTTCACAGACGAATTTGCTATTAAATTGCAAAGTCATTAATTCCATCAGTGATGACAGGTACCTAAGTCCCAGATGGGTTCTAAGATCACAAAGTACTTTTTGTGCAAATTGCAGATAGAGGGTACTGAATATAAACCCTCGATATAGGTCTAAATTTCTAACTTTTTAAAAAAAAGTTCAACAAAATGTTACAGCAAAACAAACCTTTTGATTAAGAATTTTTAGAAAAATTCAAAGTATGCAGTTTTATAGCCCCCTCTATTTTGGGTTAATAAGGTGTAAGTAGTAAGTTGCTCAAACTCGCTTTGATTTTTGATTATTTTGTTTTGTTGAAGGTCTCACGCATTTTCTTCTATACAAAGTATGTTCGACAATTTTTTTTGGTATGGAAGAAAATAATAACATCATCGGCAAAAAAATAAAAATTATCAAAAATCAACAAGATCTTGAAACTTGCAACTTATTAGAATTCAATGGGCGTACTTAGAATTTTTCTAGAAAATTTTTAATAAAAGGTTTGCTATATTGGTAAAATATTTTTGAATTTGTCTAATTATTATACAAAGTTTGAAATTTGGACTTATATGGTTTTTGTTAGATAATGAGCTGCATTTTTATAAAAAAATAAAAATAATAACAATTAAACAAACACAAGAAAATTAGCCAAAATTGGTAAAAATGTGGAGTACCTATTATTTTTTACATGACTGAACCTTGAGAAGGGTTTAAAAGCGCGTTTATAATTTTATTTTTAGATAGCCAGGCGGACATAAAGGCTCTTGTCAGTAAGCAATTCGGTATTACTATGCTGGGAGCATTGCGGGATCGTGGGTAACGCGCCCGCCGACGAATTGGCAAGAGAAGGCTCATCGTCCGTACTTGTTGGACCGGAATCGTTTTGCGGGCTCAGTTGATCCCCCTCGAGGCTTAAAATAGAATCGTGGGTAAACTCATAACGCCGTAAGTACTGGGGAGAGATAGGGGACTTTAGACAGGCTTGACCTTTTAGTTATCCTGTCGCTAGGAAAGACATAAATGTTCTTGCTTGTTAGCTATCTGACATGCACCCCATTGGTTTTTCCACAAAGACAAACTGCCGTCTTTGCCTTGAAGACGAAGAGTCGCCGGAGTACATTATGTGTGATTGTCCGGTATTGGCCAGACTAAGACTGAAATACTTCAGTTCTGCCACAGTCGATGCCCTTAAGGTTAGGAACTCGTCTACCAAGAAACTTTTAGCATTCATAAGGGAGGCTAATAACATCTAGGGGCCGCCAGGGTCAGGAACCATCATAGGGATACAAAAGATCTTCTAGGTCGCGGTGGCCCTTTCTATTACACTCAAATTTATATTGGGAACAAAGTAATCAATAAGCTAACCTTTTTCAAAAATTCCCACTTTTTGTTTAAGGTATTTTGGGCATCCATGATAAGTTCTTATTTCACTTGGATTTGCATGCTGCTGTATACATACATACATATATCTGCTAGCTTCAATACTGCTTTAATCCGATAAAAACAAATAATGAAGATGGCATACTTCAAAGCAAACACTTCAATAGTCTAACATCATTAAATAAATTCCAGCTACTCATCATGCCAAGAAATCTCGGCAACGCCAACGCGCTGCTCTTTCCAAATCACTAGGTTTTTTTTTTATTGTGAACATTTTCAACTCTTTAGTGCCCACCTCCTGCACCGCTAGTCTTCCAGCTTTCGCCGCGTACTGTTATCCATTCACCCACACAGAAAACTTCAAGTTCATAGTAACCTCATCGTTTACTCACTTGTTCGCGATAAAGCAGACACAAAATCTCCAAACCGTGCAAATGAAACTGATGCTCATCCGGCGATGACACCACGAACAACACCAAATCCATCAGACCAGACTGATGCAGCGCCCAGATAACTTGGTCATGCAGACTGGCATCATTATCGGCACGACATTCTGCCTCCGGATTGGCTGGCACTTGAAGCACGTTTCGTATCAGCACAAGGACGCGTTCAATCATCAAGCTCTGCTCCTCGCTGCGTATCGCCCAGTCCTGAAAATGGAAAAGGACACATCAATAAAAACATTTTATAAGCACGACAACAAATAAAAAGCGAAATAAAACAGAAGCGTAGAATTAAAATTGTGCAAGAAATAAATATTTTGACGAGCAGTTCGACATAGCGGCCGGATTTCTATGCAAATCCTTTGGACTAAGACTAAGTAGCAACATAAAATCAAATAAGTTGCATAGAAATGTATTTTAACGGTTTTTCCAAACGTATTGGGGTACAAAAAGCAATGAAATGGGAATATGCCTGCTTTGTGCGCCATTAAACGGTTGCCAAGCAGAACGAATGTGCTATCATTAGTTAGGCAATCGTTATAAATCTAAAGTCGAAATCAATTTACTTTCAAGCAGGCAAAAATAACAAAGCGGCTTAGAACAAAAAATTGCAGCGGAGAGTTGAAAATTGAAGGCAGTACACATTGGAGAGAAACAGAATAGGGATGTAGTAGGAGTAGCAGCGACTTAACTAAGTATGTCTATGTCCTTACAATATTCCACCCTCTGCCTGCCTTGCATACAAATATGAGCAGCGTTTTTTTTTATTGCTTTAAAATAAACTCGCATTATGCGCAGTAAAACAGCTACAAAACATCGTTAAATAAACTTACTTCAATATGGGTATAAGTATGGCAAAATCTATTGGGACGGGGACATTCTGCGTACTGGCATATTGTTGCCTCCACAAAGCTGCAGCACTGCCAAATGCAGTTTCTATACCTTCGCTAATACTACCTATATGTGTAAATATAAATAAATAGTTATTCAAAACAAAACTAACGGTTTAAATGACCAGTTTACTTGCAAAAATTGAGAAAATCAAGAAATTTCTAGTGCAAATCGCACAAAATCTAATTTTTATTAAGGTATAACTTCTTGAGCGGTCCGACCTAAAGCTCGGGGTTTTCAAACATTGGTCTCTAGGTTGTGAGGAATAAAAAGGCAGGTGTTAATTAAATGTGCCAGTTACCAAATACAAGGAAAAAGGCTGCTTACAACTGTATCGGAATTTCACGAATTTTATAAGAAACTTGAATTTATGGGTATAAAATATACTTTTCAATTTTTCAGAAAAAGAATCCAAGGTTAAAGGACAATGTACTACTTATCATTGCTGAAAGATCTTCTTGAGAAAACGCGTGATTAGTGCGTAAATTTTTTACTTAATATTGGTTTTTCGCTGAGCACAACCAATCAAGGCCAAAAAAAATCATAAGCACTGGTGTAATATTTTGTGTTTGTGTATTTGGGTCTGTGTAAAAAATGTTCAACTCAAAAAATTATTTTAATGGTCAGTACTGGATAATCCTTACTGATATATGTAAATGCGAAAGGTTTGTTTGTTACGCTTTCACGCTTTAACTACTCAACCGATCTTAATGAAATTTCGCATACTGGTGTCGTTTAGCCCAACTAAAAGAAAGGGTAGCTTTTATCTCGATTAGACAAAGGGGCGTGGCACCTCCCATACAAACGGAATTTTTCATACTGCATACCTCTGGAAGTATTTGTGGCATACTGGACCTTGGTATGGAGATATATGTATGTATGAAATCAATACTATACTCACGGAAAAAATGTGGGTTCTTGGATTTTAGATTATTTAGAAATTTTAGATTATTTAGAGATAATTGCATGAACTACATTTTTGTCTAACCTATATTTTTATAACATTTTTATGGTGACCTTTGACCTTGAATAATTTTTTTTAAGGATCTGGGATCGATAAGGCCTTTTCACATTTCATTTATAAAGATGTTCGTAACATTCGAACCAATTTTACGCTTTATGCGAGTTACTGCAATCTTGAAAATCTAACTTGATCGGGCTAATAGAACAAAATTTTGAAAATATGATTTAAATAGAGTAACAATTAGAAAATATTAGTTACGCGGGTTATAATGTACTTCAATTGGGTTGACAAGTGATCATATATGGAAAAAAATTGTGCTACTATGTTGAAAAAAAAATATAGGAAAAATGTCCATCTCAAAAGATTTTCCCATATACACCTGGACTTTTTCTCAAAGTTCTTATTAAAAAGGTTTGTGTTGTTTTAAAATTTTGTTGAATTTTTCTACCTTTTTTATAAAGTTTGAAATTTTGACTTATGCGGTTTTTGTTAGATAGTGAGTTGTATTTTTATAAAAAAATAAACATTAAACAAACAAAAATAAATAGCCGAAACTGGTCACAATGTCGTGGCCCTATTATTTTTCACATGACTGTATGTGGGCGTGTCCAACCCCGCCCACTTTTACATATTACACTTCTTACTTTTAACCAGTGTTGCCAAGTTTTGAATTTGAAAAAGCACTAACATCCTAGAAAAGTCGCGTTTTTTCTCGAAAAAAGCACCCATTTTTTTATAGGACGGTTTAATGGACTTTGAATGCATACAAAATTTTATTGTAGGTATGCCGATTCAAATTAATAAAAATTAATGCTTCTTGCTCGGCGGTCGAAGATTCGTTATTCATTTTACTGTTAGGAGATACTGGAGCTTTTAATATTCGTAAGAAATATAAAAAAATCAGCCCAAATTAAAGATCTAAAGATCGATTCCTGGTCTCAGAAACATGGACGTTTTTGCAGGCAATGGCAAATTATCGTATGTGATTCTGGCATGATTGAAAGTGCTGCCACTTATTTTTTTGACAAACATATGTTCTATCGCTTATGATTGTCATCGTACCATGATTTTGTTTCCATTTTTTTAAATTTCCATACGAAAATTCCTATTGCTCCATATTTAACTTCCATTTTGGTTTCAGGTTTACAGTTTTGGTGTCTTCAAACTAAAACAAAACGCACCAAGCACCAAACTCAAAAATTTTCGCGTTTCGAATTAAGAAAAGCACTAAATTTAGTGCGAAAAGCACTAAGTTGGCAACAGTGCTTTTAACAGACCTTAGAGTAAAAATTTTATCCCGATATGTTCGCCGACGCTTAGTCTTTTTTAAGACTCAACAAAATCTATTTTCGGGCGCCACGATTTGACTTGGTGGGAACTGTTGGTGGACATTTTAATGAAATGATTTCTTTCCATTCGAGCCAATTATAATGACTTTTCAAAACTGCTGATTTTTGGTGTTTGGGTCTTTGCCAAAACAATGCAAATTTTTTACAAACGTAATTAATACATTTTTGCAACTCATACCGATCTGTCTCAAAACCCTCATATTCAATATATTTCGCTATTGCACCCAGCAAATTTTGAACTTTTTGGAAATGCGTACCGAAATTTTCACGCCAAATCTCAAAAACATGCAATCGACAAAATTCGCAGTGTTAAGTTGTGCCTAGAAACATTTTGAATTAGAAAATTAGATACATAAATCAAGAAATAAACATGAAAAAACTGTAGAAAATAAAGAGCTCGGATAAGGTTATGGAATACTACGCGAGTCTCTGCAGATCAATGCATCTACACTAGGGCTGTGCGATTATTCGATTACTCGAGCAAGTTGGTTAATCAATTATTCGGTTAATCAATTACTCGAGTAATCAAGATTTTGATTACTCAAAACGATGATTAATCGAGTTACTTGATATATGATTACTCAAAAAAATTATTTTGCTCGTTAAAAGAGTTTGCTTTGGAAAATGCTTATTTTCTTTTTTAAATTCTGTATATGAAAAAAAATTTTCGTTTTAATTTTTGAAAACAGAAACGTTGTTTTCAAAGTATCAAGGAACTTTAACTACTTTATACATATGTAAAGAGTTGAAATGTTGATTACTCATTTTACTCGAAATGTTGATTAATCATAAANAATAACTGAGTTATTTACTTTATGGTTAATTAAAATTTTGAATAATCAATTAATCGCACAGCATTAATCTACACTGAACACTTTTATAATCTTAAAATATTCACAAACAATATGTACATAAAAATATTGAGGGCCGATAGGAGAAAGAAACACGCTTAAAACATTACCTAAATACTTGCAAGCCGAACCAAGAAACACACAAAATCCTACTTTTCTAAAACAACGATTTGCATAGAACACAACAGGAATTATCTAAAATTTTAATTATAGAAATAAAGTCAATACCTTTACGTACATATCCATTGTATATAATTTTAACTCACTCGGCTTTTCACAATATTTTAATTACGTTAAATCAAATTCAATTTTCAGCGTGCTGATGCTGTACAAACAAAACGAACAATTGATGACACTTTTGTTACTTTTTTCAGAAACAACCGTTAGAATTAAAACAAAAAATATATGACAATATGAAGTTTGGACAAAACTGATTGCAAAGCCTATTTTGGTTCAACAATTTTTACATACGTTTTTTTAATTTTAGCCTATGGCAGCAACCACTGTACGTCATTTTTAGCTCAAAAAACCTTACGAATATTAAAAAAAAAAAGGTAAGTGCGCCTGGGCCACGCTGGAGAAATGAAATTTACGTTACATATCTATTTTGTCTCATAACCAATATACATACATGCATACATACATATGTACATCTGCTTTTGCATAAGGTTATATTTTTTGTCTTTTTTCTATTTAGATCCCTACATCTACCCCGGTTCCTTAAAATTATATTTACGTATGTATGCTATTCTGTTTTCCTTTATCTTCATTTTTATCTTTATACTCTGTCGATAACAAAATCGTTAGTAACATCCAACAAAATATCGATACCAAATCAATAAAAATATCGATAACAAAATCTTAGAAATTGGATAAAAATATCGATAACAAAATCAGTTAAAATATCGATAACAAAATCGCCAAAATTATCAATTACAAAATCGATAACAAAAATCGTATAGAAAAACTATAAAAATATCGATAACACAATCGATAAAAAAAGTAGAGAACAAAATCAATAAATAATCGATAACGAAATCGATTACAAAATCGATAACAGTACCGATAACAAAATCGATATAAATAGCGATAACGACTTGAATAAAAATATCGATAATAAAATCTACAACAATATCGATAACAAAACCATTA